AGAAGCCCCAGCTTCATCCCGACTTTGTCTCTCGCAGGCTGGAGATGTAGTTGTCACAGTCATTCAATGTTAAGGAATGTGACTGTTTCTGTTAGAGAGAGTGAAAGGCACAGAATGGGCTTCAGTGAACTGGTTGGAGGAGGCATACAGAGGAGATAAGAATGGAGCGAAGCTTCCTGGAGGATGGGTGGGAACAAAGAAACCTCAGCCCTTCTCAGAGCAGCAGATGTTCTCACAAGGATATCCTTGCAACCCACAGTTGTCATCATCATTACAACTCTGCACATTTTGCTCTTCTGGGGAGCGACTCTAGGAGGATGTGCATGATGAGCAAGCAACTTACCGCCAGGCTCCATGCCCATCCTCAAAATTGTGTTCTGATTTAAGAGAAAATACTACATTTCAGTGAATGAGGGTGGGGAGATGCCCATTCATTCTTCACAGTCTGTTCATGAGCTCTGTGATCTGCAGCAGTCGTACAAACTCTTTAATGACCTGGGGTGGTAGATGTTGCTGAATGCCTAGAGTGCTCTTTTATCAAAACAATGCTTACAAGAGTATGATGTAAAGCATGACCTTAATTGATTAAATTCTGGTCTTAGATACTGATAATAAGAGCCTGTGAGGAAGGTGTGACAGACAGGCATTTGACCTGAGTGTTACAAGCAGTTTCCTCATGCTTGGTGTGTGCTAGATATCATGGCATGCTTTTACAGTGTGTGGATTTGTAGGCCCAGCTCCTTGCAAGCATCTCTGAGTTAGATATATTGGACTTTGATTATCCAAGAAGCATCTTCGGAGACTCTGATGAGATCAGGTACTTGTATAACATGAGAAAAATCTTATAACCGGATAGGAACATGTCCCTTAGGCATGGTTGCTTACCAATTATTCTAAAATTGTTTATGCTATTACAAATTCAAACCAATGTCAAAGAAAAATAATAAATTGAATTATTGTACTATATCTGTCATGTGTTAGAGGGACACAGAAACACTCATTTTATAGCAAATATATATATATGAAATATATATTATGTGTGTATAAATATTTATATACACATATAATATATTATGTGCATATATATTATATATATCTTTAATATGACATGTAATATAAATTAATATAAAATATATAGCATATATTATATAGCATATGGTATATAATATATAGAATACAGCATATAAGATTTAATATATGATATGTGATATGTAAATATATAATATGTGATGTGTAATATGTAATGTGTAGTATAATAATGTATAATGTATTACACAATATGCACTATGTAATATATAATCTATAATAGATAATATATGAACTTTTTAAGGGAAGGTATGATGAGTGAAGGCAATAAATAAGATCTAACTGGAAATTAAGTCCTGACATCCCATTCTGTTGATTAAGAAATGGACTGTAGAGATAACTTAGCCACTAAAGGTTAGGCTCACAAGGAAAAACAAGAAACAGAAGCAGCTTCGGTAAGTTCATGGCCAGCACCATGTTAAATATGGCTTTTAGGAAGATATTAACTATTGTATTAGCATGGTCCATTAAATAAAGTGGTTTCCATGGAAATCATCACATATGTAGAAAAGGATGGAGAAAGTAAGAAAGAATAACTATTCTTTGTTTTGCGATGCTGGGGAAGCATGTTAGACCAAAGTTCACAGACTGAAAGCCATGGGAAGGCAGATCTATTTCCATTGTCAAAGAGAATGCAAGACTGCTTTGGATACTAAAATTCTACGCTCAGCATTTTTACGTATCAGGTAGCCTTTCATTAGAGTTTAAATTCACATACATTTCCCTAAAAGACAGACAGAGAGCATTACTAAGCCATGGCCACTTGAGGTTTCTGGAATGTCCCCTACCTGCAATTTTTATTGAATAACTGTACTGAGATACAACTCAGAGAACCCGCAGTTCAGCTACTGAATAATGCAGTTTGGTGTTGGTACTACTGTCTGACATATCCCCTACTGTGTGCTTTCTCTATCACTTTCCCTTTTCTCTTCTCTCCTCTCCTCTCCTCTTCCATTCTCTTCTTCTCTTCTCTTTGCTTTTCTTTTCTCTTTAAGCCAAAATCATCTGTATTTTATGTAAGAACTATACTAGTGACAAAGAAGTGGAATTTCATTTGGTTTGTATTTACCATCCATTCGTATATCTTCTTTGGAAAAAAGTCATACACATATATGGCCAGTTTCTATTTGTGTCAATAATCTCTTTTTTATTGAATTTTAAGAGATCTCTAAATGTTCCAACCACCTTATCAGACATTATTAGAAAATGTTTTATTTTTTGTGAATTCTCTGCTGGCTCTAGAACAGGTTCTTGAGTAGCTCGGGCTGGGTTTGAACCTATTATCAAGCCAAAGATTATCTAGAACTTCTAATCCTGATGACTCCATCTCCCACATAATGAAAGAAGAGTCATGTACCCCAACATACAGTTTCCTGAAGTTTTGGGTTTCAAACTCAATGCTATGGGTAGGTAATCAGGCACTTTATAGGTGGACACAAGCGCATGAGCACCCTACTGCTGAGCTACATTCTCAGACCTGTAGGACATAGTCTAAATTCATAGTGACTCAAGCATCTAAAAGCTTCCTGGATTTCGACACTTCCACCAACATTATCAATATTGCTGTAAATTTTTATCCTTTATCAAAATGCTGAATTTATAGATGTGTGCTGACACAAATCCATATGATTTTAAGATTATTTTTAAGATTAATACAATAGTTGCAAAATATTCCTTCATTTACAAGGTCTATATCATCTTTTTAAATGTGTTGGTTAAGAATTTCAAACATGTAAATGATATCTTTTGAGCATATACAGTCTCATTAGATCCCTCCAACTTCCCCTAGACTCCTCCCCCACCAGGTGCCCCTCCCAACTTCACAGCTTTGTCTTCTTTAAAACTTTTATTTGTGTGTGTGTGTGTGTTTGTGTGTCTGTGTGTATGCCCTCAAGTGCACACATTCGCATGTGTCTGTACCATGTGTGTGGGTACTTGATGTGTGTGTGGGTACAGAAGTGTTGAATCTCCCTGGAGATGGAATTACAGACAGTTGTAAGCTGCCTGATATGAGTGTTAAGAACACAGAGTGCTTCTGGGAAAACAGCAAACCTCTTAACCATTGGCTTACCTCTCCAGCCCCTCCTCTTTCTTTTTAACACAGAGTCCAACTGGTGACCTCTGCGGGTACATGGGTCATCTATTGGAGCATGCACAACCTACCAGAGACCACATTTGCTAATAGCCTTTCAGATAGGGCTGGGGCCTCCTGAGCCACTCCCCTGTCTCATGGAAAGTTGGATGGCTTTCTCTGTACCAGCAAACACAACTGCTGAGATCATGCATCACATGACCTAGAAGACACTACTTCCCAGCAATTCTCCTGACCTCTGGCATTTACATTCCTTCTGCTCCCTTATCTGTGATGTTCCCCGCAAACTGAGGAGGGAGGGGTGTGTATTATAGATGTTCCATTTGATGTTGAAAATATCCCTTCTTAACCCCACTCCCTTGCTTTAATATTGAGTATCAGTCCCTTCGTAATGCCTTGCTTTCATGATGGACATCGGGTTACTTATAGTTTAAGAATTGCTTTTACCATCAATGTGCAGAGAAGTCCTATTCCATATATCATGGCCATTTGCCCTTCCTATAATGGTGAATTAAAAGGAATTTGCCAAAAACTAAAGCAGTGTAATATGGACTCTGGCTTGGCAGTAGTATCTTGGAGAATCATATGTTATTATTTTGAAACACTTTTTTTTTCACATCTCTGAAGCTTTAGCAATAATTTACTCTTCCTCTTCTTCGGCTGTATTTCCTACTATCATAGATGTCTGTGTTACTGAGATAGCTACTGAATAGTGTAATATGTGTTGCATGGCTCATTGTCAGGAGCAGCCCTGCTTATACACTGAAGGCCTAAAATCAGTGATAGGCCTGACATACATGCCAGCTAGCACCGAGTCTTCGGTCTCTGTGGAAAAACACTGAAACAGATAGCTGGAAGTTATTGTAAACATGCAGCTTTGGTGGAAGGCTGCCAAGCCTGGCTAGTCATAGACCTTGTAGATAGGTAACCTTGGTGGATAGTACCAACTTAGATAAGGACAAATGAATCATAGGTGGAGTCATAGTGTCCTGTCCTCTGAACCTTCACCCAGCTGACACTCTGTTCTGGAAGATATCTGTACTCCCCCTGAACAATCTGTATTCCCCCTGAATACCCATATTCCTACGTCATCCCCTTCCCCACATCCTGCCTTTTTGTCTATATAACCTGTGTGTGCAAAAGTAAAAATGGTGATCTGATCAGACTATAGACAGGTCGTCCTTCCTTCAAGTTTGCCTGTTTTCCCCCATCTTCTCTTTCAGGTGATCTCCCTGGATCCCTGTTTAATGCCCTGCTGGACAGGACAGCTCATCCTACAAACACTGAGACTTTGTCAGTCCCTAACTCTGGTAGATCCCCTCCCCTCATCTCTCATCCCTCCACCTTCTGACTGAAGTTGCCTTATTCAGATATAACCACATACTGTCTCTGTTACTGCAACTGTCTTTTACCTGGCTGATTATTTTTTTTTTCACTGTGGTCCCAGATCAGTGTTTCTTAAAAGCAATTTAAATCGTGTCTTTTAAAGCTTCTCCATTATACTCAAGGAAACATCAAGACTCCTTAGCACCTATGCCGTGTGGTCTGATGCCTCTCTTTGGCTTCGTGAGCACACACCGGCAGGAAGTTATTTCTTTTCAGGAAAAGTCCACCACCGCGCACGTGCGCTTCCTAATACTTGACAGATTTTAAACCTCCAGGCGTTAGCACACACACACTTACATACTCCTACGCCCTTCCATTGATTCTTCAAAAGTTTTGTCCGTGGCTAAGCGAAAGATCACTTGCTCTGAGACGTCTTGGCACTGATATTTCATTTAAATGCATTAGATATATGCTGTGCTCACGATTCATCACTGTGCTCTGTTGAAATCCTTATTTTATTGACTGCCTCTCCCGTTATATTGCTCAAGGCGAGAGTTTCCGAGCTGCAGCTTGTCTCCTTTGTTAGGTCTAGTACAATGCTCAGGCAGTGTGCGTGAACCCTGAATAAAGAGAAATAGAAGACAATGAATTGTTCTTGGTGCAAAAGATACTGGAACATGTCATTTGTATTAGTGATCGGAGGACCAGAAATGGTGGATCATGCCCATGAATATCAGCAGGTGGGAAGGAGAGAGAGGAGGTATGAGTTCCTGAGAGTTTTGTTTGTTTGTTTGTTTGTTTCCTTTTCATCACAGATACCTACCCTGACAAAAACTAATACTCTGTAAACCTCCTAAAATCTGGAAAACTTTCATTTACTTAAAACACTGCTCTACCCTAAGGTAGACAATCTTTTTAAATTTTTATGATATTCCTTGTGCTACTTAAATTAGCTAATACAGAGTAGAGTATGAGGTTCAATCTCAGCCAACGAGGAAGAGGAATAGCTAAGCTCCTCTCTTACATTAGAAAATAAACCCAGAGGTCATCTAGCTAGCTAGCTTAATGTGACCTTGATGTGCTGAGTACATATGTTTCTGTGTTTGGCAGCCTGAGCTATTTAGCAATACCTATTCTTTTTTTTTTTTTTTGTTAGATGGTTTTATGTGTATGGGTGTCAGTCCTACATATATGTCTGCACCATGTTCAGGCCTGGTCCCTCAAAGTAAAAAGAGAGTATCAGATCCCCTGAAACTAGAATTACAGTTGATTGTGAGCTGTCATGTCAATGCTGGGAATCGAATCTGGGTCCTAGAATAGGAAATTCCGTGTTCAAGACTTCTCAGTCATGTCTTTAACTGTATAGTGCTAAAAACAAAAATTGCAATACTTTATGCTCTACTCAAAAGTCAATCGACATGCATATTTTTCTCAATATTACTAACACGTAATAACCATTGTAAGTTTTTTACAGCCCTCTATGAATTGCCAGGCTTATGTGTTTTATGTATGGTTTGCCTTGTAGATGAAATTATAACTGTCTAGTTAGTCTTTCAATTTCTGGCCAGTGGATATCGTATTCTGAATGTTTTATATGATAAATTATCATTTTTATCTCAGATAGTAAATATATTATTAAAATAGCATACTTGTTTTATCTTTCTAGATTACTTCTACTACAAAACTATTCAAATCGTTTGACTTCTATGTGTGCATTTGTATGTTACACGGGTGAGGTGAAGGGCAAAGTTCATTATCATATTCGCATGCTTCTGTCTCTGAATGGTAGTTTTAATTTAATATTATATCCAATCATTCTATACACGTGTTTTAGAAATTGCTTGGCTTCTTTAGAAATGTGACTATGAGCATGTGACAAAGCCACATTTTATGACAAAGTTCACTGATGAGGAAGAGAATAAATGTAAGTTATATACATTAAATATGTAGAAAACGTCAAACTTCATCTCTTAAAAGCTAGTGATCAGTTCTGTGTATATACTCAGATAATTTAAGTACTTAGAATACAAATAAGGATTATGATAAATTACCCACCAGTATTAACATTTGTGATAAAATAAGAAAAAATAAAGACATACCACTCAGATTCTTCTTTGTGACACTACTTCCCGTTAATTAGAAAATGAACATGGTGAATAGTATGAATTGGTATTTAAAATAGCTTACACAAATTGTACTCTTTTAAGTTATCCAGGGATGTTTTGTCAGTTCTGTCAAATATTAAATGGAAACGTGGAAACGATTCTTTAAGAAGAAATCTATTTTCCTTCCAATGATATCCCTAAGAGTTCAGCTGAGCTCCTCTCTACAGCCTGTGTTTTATGGGCACCATGTAATAAGTCTCAAAGTCTAGCGAAAAATGTCCCTCCTAGAAAGACTCAACTACATTGGTGTCCTTATTTCCAATGACCTCTCTTCATTGGCTGTAAGAAGAACTTCAAGTCTGACGGAAACCAATGCAGAGAGCCTGTTTCTGCAGCCCTGCTTAGAGCAAACATTCTTTACCTCGCACAGGTCGGGCCCTTAAGATCCACCTCTTCCTTGTTACAGTTTGTTGCCTGCGAGGCGCATGGTTGCCAGTGTCCTGAGGGTGGATGATCTCTTGGACTTCCAGTATTAATAGTATGACTTCCTCTAGGCTCTCTGCTTTGTCTTTTCTAAGGGTTCTTTCTGCCTTCATCGCTTTTGGGTGCACTCTCCGCTGTGGTGCCCTGGCTTCTCTTTGTATTTCCCTTGTAATCTTGCTCTGCACACACTACTTCTCCAGAGCCAATTTGTTTCCCAGAATGGAAAGGATTGTTTATCTCGGGAAGAGGAACTTTACCCCTGGGAGCTGTTCTGGTCAGATAAGCAGACAGCTGCTGATTGGATAGCTTGAGTTTGGCTCGCCTTTCTCTTGGTCTAAGCTGAGTCCAGGAACACAGCCACGCAATGATGATGGGCAAGAGAAATGGAGCTGCAGCCAAAGCTGGTAGTAGGAAAGGTTTGGGGCCGGAATAAACATCGCAGGGACTCTAAACTGGAATATATTTTGTTTGAATTGATCGTTTGTCACAGGTTTCTCTCTTTGGCTGCTCTTCGGTATAATCCTAGCAGTAATTCCAAAGGCCATTAGACAAGTACTGTGTCGCGGACCTGAATTTTGGAAACATCAGTCTCCCTCAGAAAGCCCTCCTGTAATACTCCTTTACAAGCAGCAAGCCTCCTGCCTACTAGAGTGTCCTAACACAGCCCTTTCATAAAAATTATCCCAGCCCCTGGCTGGCTATATCTGTAGCGTTTCATAGTCAATAGGACTATTCAAAACGACGAGATAAAATACTTGTGGCTGGTTTCTTTAGGTGTGAATCAAGAACTACAATGAAAGAACCATTTGCCCAGCTTTTTCCCAGTGAGGATGCTCCATCTGATCCTGCGCTGTGTGTGGTGGTGACCATATCTGCTACAGGACAACCCTTGCCTGCCTCAGCACTGACTGCATATGTAAAAGCTTAAACACTGAGACCAATGCTTTTTAAACCTGCCCTTCATGGATTTCCTCTGTCTGTTTTTCCTCTAGGATAATGTTATTACCCTACATATACTAAATAGATGAGAAAGCACAGGATTTTCTAAGAAGGTATCATGTTGTCATGAGAACTGGAATATTTGAGATACAGCCATAGTCCTCATTTCAAAAACGTGATGTGAGTGTCACTGGGAGATCTTGCTGAAACACAGATTACTGACCTCATCTTCACTTTCAGAGTTTGGATTCACTCTAGATGCTTTATGATCCGAGAGTCTGGAGCACATTCTCATGTCTTGCAGGTACCAACGTTTTTTAAGGTGTCTGAATGGAGGGAATTGTAGGAGGAGCTAAGGTGGGAAGAGTAAGGAGAGGAAGAGGAGAAGGAAAAGGAGGAGCTATGGGAGAGAAGGAGAGAGAGAGAGAAAGAGAGAGAGAGAGAGAGAGAGAGAGAGAGAGAGAGAGAGAGAGAGAGAGAAACATGGAAGAGGAAGTACGCTTGTCTCTAGTAGTCAAAGGTAGTTTGTATATCTAGGTTGGGTATTGGGTTACACCTCTGAGTGATTGAATGGTCATCTTGTTACTGATCATCACCAAACATATAAAGCCTTTGATTAATGTTTAAGCATTAGAGTTCCATTTTCCTACCAGGCCCACGTGGATGGCGGGATGGTCTGGGAAATGCCCAGCCTGGCAGAGACAGCCTGGAAGATTGACAGAGCCATCTCCCATGCTTGTGTCTCCTGGGTGGCAGGGCTGATGTCTCTGACCACCTGAGTGGACAGCCAGAGCTGAGCAGAGGCAATATGGCCACTGCTGCTCCTGGCTGCAGGCCTAGGCTAGTCGGGAACATGGCCACTGATTAAGAAAAGCCAGATTGAATGCCACAGATTTAAATATCTCCCACTACAGGGAATTGCCCTACAAATGTCTCAGCTGCCTAGTAGGCCTCCCAATCCACTCTGTTGTACCTTTTGCTGCAGCAATCAGCACTCAGCATCTTTCTGTAACTCTTCAGTCTTGAGCATCATGTAATAACCAGAGGGCATGCTTCAGCCTGGCTTTATAAATTATAATCCTACCACATCTTGTATTTCAGGAATGGTACACAATGACTTATTTTCTTGAGATCATGTGCTGCGTGTAATTTTATGTCTGAGAAAGGTGTTTATGTCCTTTGATGTAGACTCAGTTATGTAGAACTTGTTGGCAGGTCACTGATCTGGGTTTATTAGTCTAAGTGTTTCAGTAATGGAGACTCATATCAATTATTCCAGGTCTGCTCATTGTGATGTTCAGGTGGCATTATAGAGATTCTAAGTCTGGCTTGGGACATAAAACCTTTGCTTTCTTACTGTGTACTGTTGTATACAAGCTTCACACCTGATCCACCTATTTTCTTTTTTAAATCTCCTTGCATAGTCCCGAGACGGCCTGATAAAGTCTCTTTCTTCACACGGAGACTGTGGATGAAGATCTTTGCAGCAGGTGTGATCTATCTGAGGATAGTGGCTTTTGACAGTTTTGAGCTGCATCCTAGGCACTTGGCATTTGTTAAGATAATTAACTCCTGACTACATGTAACTTGGAGACTATGATAGCCAGAACTTGAAGACGGATGCCAATTATGTCTTGAAAGATGTTTAGACAATAACTTCGAAGTACTGGAAGCAACTAGACTCTATGAAAGAGTCGTAGCAATCTTCGTAATTAAGCTTTTAAAATCCTTGAGATAGACTGTTTATTTCTTTGAAGATGTCATAATGAAACCAGTTATTATGTGTAATTAATAAATGCAAATAAAATCAGTTGAAATTCTTGACTGTGCTGTGCCTTTAAAACCCACACTTAATCCATGTATTAGAGAGATAACATTAACATACGCATGTGGAATGGGATCCCTGAGAAAATGCGGGAGATTGGAAACTGAGTGTCTTAGAAGAAGTTTTCATAATAAATGAATGTTGAAAAAGTCAGCAGAATTCTAACCTAGTTTCTCTCTGCTCAGTATCTACACACATAAGCAAATGAAGGTCTCTGGGTTCTTGTGGCTAAACAGTATAATAATATTCCCCCAGCTTTATGGAGGTATGATTGGTGAATGAGAGTTGTGCATATTTAAGTTGTAACACCTCATGATTTGATATATGCATTTTAAAATGATTTCTACAATACATCTGTTGTTTCACAGTTTTTGTACATGAGGTTAAGATATTCATGGTCTACTCTATTAGCAAGTTCAAGGATATAGGAAAATATGACTCAGTGCAGTCACTCTGCGCCAGGATTTTCCCACCTTGAGTGTGTCAATTTTTATACTTTACCAAGATCTTCCATTTTCCCGTCTCTTCTTTTCTCAGATATGATAGTATCTGAAAAGTGAAACCGTTTATTTAGGACCATCTGACTTGCGATTCTCCACATTTAAGTACAGATCTCTCTTCCTTGCAAAGGCTTTAAAAAGCAGCTCTTGAAAAGATTCTTGTAACAATGATTGTGGGGCTTTTAAAAAAGAAGACTGTAGTGTAAGTAGAAATAAAAATTAGTGAGTACCTCAAGTGTAAGCCACTCACATACATATACACACATAAGCATATATGCACACCATACACATACACGAATAATCATATATGTACACCATACATACACACATAAGCAGCTATAGACAACACATATACACACATAAGCATATACATATACAACAAATACATAAACACATAAGCAAATATACACACCATACACATATAATCATATATACACACCACACACATGCACACATACACATTATATACCACACATATACACACATAAGTAGATTATACACAACACATATATGCTATACAACATACACATACACGCATTAGCGTATATATGCAACACATGCATACACATATAAGCTTATATACATACCATACACACAAATATATAAACACATATATTTGCCACATATGCATACTACATGTTTACACATAAACATACATACACATATGTAACAAAACTTATATATATATGTGTGTGTGTGTGTGTATGTGTGTATATATATATATATATATATATGTATGTATATATATATATATATATATATATATATATATATATATATATATATTCATGTACAACTTAGAGTTTCTTTACTGGGATGAAACACTGACTGTGAACAAGGTGGGAAAGAAAGAGGTTATTTCAGCTTACAACTCCCAGGTCATATTCTATCAGTGAAGGAAGTTAGGACAGGAACTCAAGGCAGGGACTAAAGGAGAAGCCATGGAGGAATGCTGCTTGTTTCCATGGCTGGAGAGTCCTATCTTTTTTATAGCACCCAGGACCACCATCTCAGGGCTGATACCATCCACAGTGACCTGGGTTCTCCCACATCAATCAAAAAAATAAAATACCCTGCAGACTTGCCTCTAGGCATCGTCTATGAAGGCATTTCCTTCATTAAGGTCTCTTCTTTCCAAATGGCCCTAGCTTGTGTCAAATACCATAAAACCACCAGGATTTTATATATATATATATATATATACACACACACACACACACACACACACACACACACACAAACACATTCTTATTTAGACAGGCAGTTTTGTATTGCATGAACATTTCAGAGCGTACTTACAAAAACCAAGGTGTGACTGTTTGATAAGATATCATGGTGCCTGCTTTTGTGATAGCTCCTGAATGAAATACAGTTGTGGCACATGACAACACACACACATACACACTCACACACATGCTCTCTCTCTCTCACACACACACACACACATGTGCGCGCACACACACACATACTCCAATCTTGCAGTTCATCAGCAAACATCCCACTCAATCATGTAGCTTTGTTCCCACTTCGTAGGTGATAACACTACAGAATGGAGATATCAATCAGTCAGCCTACTGTCTCCCACACGAGTGTCCTTTTGCATCATTATCTGACACCAGTGCAGACTAAGTGCTCCAAAGGCCAAGCCCTTGCTCAGAGTGCTGAATAGAGGTTCATGCAGCCCTCAGCTCTATATCCTTTTATCTCATGTCCACTGCTCCCGCCGCTCTTTCTCTTGTCTCCACTACCCTAAAAACATCACTTTCCACAGTGTATTTTGTGAATTACTTTAAATCTTGATGTTTTATAAATCTTTCCCCAATGAAGTATCCAAGTCACTAGCATAGCCAATAGCCTTCTCTGTCAGCTTATTCATCAGTTTTATGACCTCAGCTTCCTAATTTGTGGTCCTACCAATAGCCTCTTCA